TGTCGTGGTTACGAATGCTTGCGAGCAGGGTCAACTAAGAAGCGAATGGGGTGTTTTAATGAGGGCAATGGTAGTATTTTGTGGAGCGACGATGGATGAGGGAGAGGGGTGGGTGGTCTTGTTGACACCCCTGTGAAACCGAAACTGCCCAACAAGGTTCCTTAAAACCGTGAGCGCGCGTTGACAACGGGGGTATACCGACAGGGGTTGGGCATTTAAGGCGTTGCATTTCAGCCTCGCGTGATCATTGTTTCACCGCGGCCTCCTCTAAGGGGTGTCCAGTTTCAAAGGCCGTTCTCCATGTCTCCCGATCCTTAGATTTCTAACTGGAAAGTTGGTGTACCGCTCTGGTAATCTCCCTCAAGGTGAGCGGTTGTCCGAGGTTAGCACTGAACTCCACCTGAGGAAGTCTGCCGATAATTCCGTTGGATACTTTAGATGAGCGGTCGAGAACACACTTAACAGGTACTGCCCGGCGTCCAAGGGTCCGCACTCTTGTCTGCCATTGGGGGTGCTCCACCTGAGCTGAGTAAGATTGAAATAAGCACCGTTAAAACAAAGACTTAGTACTTCCCCTATAACCTATTCAAGAGACTGAAGTGATAGGAAATCTTTTGTTTTAGTGTACCAAAACGCCAGTTAACGGTGAGATATTTGGAGAAAATACCACTCACGTCCAAACTTGGTGACTAAATTGTTCTTTATCATATGACTAGTGTCATTATTACAGCCGTCGTTTTTTTCGGTCAAAGATAGGCTGTGTATATCCTACAGTGGCGACCCCTTTTTGTTAATCTAAGCTTAACATAGTTAATTCGGATTTGTTTGTCCCTCGCCTATCCGTTGGTCATATACTTTGTTGCTTACGCTGCCCTAGATCCTCTTCATCTAAAACCCAAACGGTCACAAACTGGCTACTTCGACGTAATGAAAATGCAACTGTCAGACATGTATAAGCTTAGTCCTCATGAAAATCTCCTCCAACATTATCTTGCTATTAGTCTTATGCCACTAATCATGTTCAGGAAGGGAAAAACGAGGCTGTCGTCACATCGTCGGGAATCGAGACGGATGTTCTCAGTAAAACTCAACTATATAAATTCGGGTCAAAATTCTAACCAAACAGTTGTTCAAATGTGCTATCACCGGAACCACCATTCTCGATTTATTTTCACGCACTCAGCTTACTACTCTGTCGATACCGATGTCATTTCAGAACCTCGACGCCGTGCCATAATCCAGCTTTTAAGTTCAGATCAGAGTTAGCCTATTTCGCTGAGGCATTCGTTTGGCTCAGCATTCGCTGGGAGACAGCGTCGTATACGACTTTATCTCATGCTGGCTCGTCGACTCGACGGCACACATTGACGTGGTTGCCCAACACCTCGTCCAGTCTCTTATATTCTCCCTTTTTCAGCACCAGCGCCATACGGCCGCTAAAGGCAGTAAATACCGACATGGCATATGACTGTACCATCAGCTCTCAGTTCAACATCATTAAGTTCGTACCGCCAAATCTACAACCGGCTTTTCCGATCACGTTCACATGTGGTTATGTAGCCCCACCCGAAGTAAACAAACTCCAGCCACCGGTAATAGGGGACCGATGGTAATAGGGGTTTTTACAGCGGGGCGGGGAAACGCACAGGCGACAAGATCAAGTAGTTGTATACAAAAGGAAAGCTATTGGGAATGCGCGGCTGTACTTTGGGTGGTTGAGAAATAGTTGTCCTAACCTCTAGCTTCAACCCCAACAGTACTGTGTCCATCAGGTGAGGCTACATAACAACATCTTACCTCGATCACAGCTGTCGTCCTGGCACTTTCCTGCCGCCGGCAGTCGCCCACACTGCTAACAACATTAACGTCGGCCATCTTGCTTTCACACAACCTGACGACTAGTGTGGCACAGGCTGCTTCAACACGCCAGCCCTCGCGTGGTCAACAGACACCGTCAGACATAAACACTCTTGACCTAACTTCGACAACATCCGGCAAAATGGTCTCCTTCTTCCTCTTTCAGACATGATCTGACGTCATCGGCACACACTCTAGCCTCTCCAGCCGCCTGAGACGCCAACTTGGGGTTTTTTAAGTAATTAATCTCTCATTCTGGGGTCATCCATCCTATCCTGCTACTACGGACCTAACCTGAGGATTGTGGTGCTCAAAATACTCCCATTTCTCGAGCCGCTACAAGTCTGCGCTTAGACCGCACTGTACATAATCAGAATATAAGAAACCTGGACATAGAGGCTTAGTCGTCTATCGTGAAATTAAGGTGCAAGTTAAAATGTTTGCTAGGCACTGCGGTCGACTGCATTTGAGGCACCGCTCTAAACAATAAACGACAATAAATGGCATGCAACCCTCCTGCAAAAAACTGTAGTTAGCTACAAGCTTAACGCTAATCGTGGCCATGTCTGTAGTGAGTAACCCTAATCCTTAACGTCACGGTAACCTTTATCCAAGCCCTAAAATCCTAAATGCAACCCTATTTCCAATCTAGAGATAAAAGCCCAACCCTAACCGCAGCCTTAGCCTTAAACTTCAGCCCAATACGGGCAACTTTAACGTTAATGACGCTAGTGAAGGTGAACATTCCTATATCGCATAATCCCTTTCGGGACCTACTGTAAGACGAATCGTTGTGAGCTACATCTACTTAGATAGGATAAGAATGCAGACATTTAGACAACCACCCAGGGGATTACATGCTCTGATCTCACCCAATAAACATTTTCGAAATCAAGCTTGCGATGGACGGTCACCACGTACAACAAGTGACGTCAAAGAGAATTCAGGTCTCGCTTGGAAAAATCAAAGTCTTGGCACCTAGAATCAGATTTTAGTGCGTGTCTCTGTTTATCCTTCGTATGTCTATAATTGCTCGCTTTCTCTATATTGGTCTCTTTTTTGGAGAAAACGCCTTTTAAGAGAATTCAGCTGTATAACGAACTATTTTACTGCAAAATCAAAACTGATGCCATTTTAATCAGTCAGATTTTACACATTTTGAGAAGGACAACCCGACAGCTCGGCCTTGCTATTAGATCTTTTACTCTAACAGTCATTCGAAATGTTATGAAATTTAAGGCTCCCGAACCATATCTAAAGATCCAGGTGATAAAAATAGACAGGGAAAAACATAAATGCCTGCCTTTCAAAGCCCAAAATTAATAAGCTCCCTACATAAGCCATTATTGTGCCGGGAAGAAAGGGGCTCAAAATATTTGTGGTGAAACAGAGATCAACAAAAGCAGACATATTTTAGAGAGTGAGAATTATCGATAGCCAGCTGCATACTAGAATTACGAGTCATGAAGAAGGAGACACGATCGCTGTAACAAGAGCTTTATTAACCTGACGTTTCGGATTCTCACTCGAATCCATCATCATAGACAGAGTCTTGTTCCAACGATCGTGTCTCCTTTTTCGCGACTACTTCCTGGAACTCGTCTCTTCGCTTCTATTAGCATTACGAGTCATCTTAGGCTATACATAACGTTCGCACCATTTCACTGACGTCCGAACAGAGATAAGACAGCAAGCAATAAAAGTCTCGCTAAGAACTAGTTACGCTCCTCTTTCCATAGTCGAAACGGAATGCGTTGTAATGGTTAATAAAAAGCGACTTCAACATAACTGAGTAAGAATAAAGTGTTAAAATGGATAACAAAGAGAATGACTACGAAGCATTGTGTGAAAATAAGTGACATAAATAGGTAATTCTCACAATTCTACCAGCTAGACCAAAGGTCGGTGTGAAATCAGTGCCGAAGGATGAAGGTTATGTCAAAAAGGTGGGTAATCCAACGGTCAGGAAAGTTTACTCTATGACCGCTAGGAGTGATGCGAATATCAGTGGTACTAAAAGATCTACACTCAGGGATAGTGAGGCAGGTATGCAATGGAGGGGGACCGAGAAAGGTTGAGCAGTCAGCACATATTAACTCCTAAGGTTAATTCGGTGGATTCCCTAGAACATCTTTCTTGACCCGATCAACGATGACCACGTTCTTCTTGTCACAATGAAGGACCCGAAAAGACTTTGTATTGTATTGTCCTCCGTAGGGTGATTCTAATGGCTTGCGAACACAGTCACTGCGGATGAAGGCATGAGTGTAGTCAGCCAAGAATTTTCCACATAAGATGCGATTGCAGTGGGACCGGTGACGGCGTGTAAAAAGGCGCTGGACACAATAGCAAAGATTCTCAACGACACCCTGAGAAATTAGGTAAATAGTCTCATCGGGGAGTTGGAAGGTGGGACTGAACGCAAATTCGGTCGCGCTACAGTTAAAGTCGGAGTGCAATGCAGCCCAAATTCCAAGATGTGTCAGAAGAAGGTTGTCTGCCCAGTTCAGTGAGTATTCTGCGATATGCAAGGCATTCTTAAGTTAATGGTGGGAGATTCCGACCATGGCCTTTTGGGTGGTAAGCTGTCGTTCCAGTATATGAAGAGTTCAGGGAGATGAGCAGGACATAGCGAAGTTCAGACTCGAATTGGATGGTTCTGTCAGCCACTATCGTAGATTGGGTACCGAACATGGTGAGCCAACGACTGACGAAGGCTTTAGTGATGATACTAATTTCCACATTCGATGGGGAAGTTAATTCAGTCCTGCTGGTGTGATGATAGACACGGGTAATGATAAGAGTGTGGTCATTGGATAGAAATAAGGGCTCCATGATATCCAGATTCGCTTGGCTGGACCATGCATCGGAGTTGGGGGAAAGTGTCTGATGGGGTACTTATTGACGCCGGTCCATGTTGAACTGGCATGTCCGTGTTGGAACTTACAAAACACACTGCAAGGAGCCCCTGTGAGGCTCGGAACCTGGGATAAGAAAATCCCCCCAATGATTGAAACAGTACGACAATATTGAGGTGGGCGCTAGGGGCCGACGAAGGGTAGTTAAGGTGTTGCAAAGGATTGTACCGGCACCAATAGTTGAGATAATGTTCACAAACTGGAAACCACTAAATTCTGACCGCCATGACCTCAGACTCATTACTGCTCAGCAGCCATGGCGGTATGGTTGGTTCCATGGGAGAGCAAGAGGGCAGAGAGCGAAGGTCTGGACACCGCGTCCGTTATCTCGTTCTCAGTGTCCTCGTTCTTATTGCTCCGCCTCCATTGATCTCCGTCATCATCCTCCCTGCCCCAGCCCTTGAGTCGGTCACAACGACCAGCTCCACGAACACCACGATCTCTCGCATTTCCCTCACCGATGGGGTGACATTCGACATTCCGTTACCCACCACCATCACCATCATCACCCCCACCTCAACCGTTGTGGACTCGTTCCCAACTACTCCTCATTGCAATCGCACAGCCATCTCACACATCGGCCCGGTCAGTCACCTGCAAATCCATGGCGCGGAGATTGATGAACCTGTGCCTGGAGCACCCACTCGCCCCAACTGCCCGTACAGACATCGCACTGACCTACTAGGTCGCACGCGCAGTCATGGAAACCTGCGATAAATCACCGCTGGCTATACTACACCATCACGCCATTGTCCATCAGCACTCGTAAAACACAAAAACATCACCCGTCACTACACGACGCAAACACGCACACGTAAGTGGGAAATGGGTTCCTCGGTTCCTTCTCCATGTGGCTCCTCTGTTGTGTGTGTGATCTGAGCTTGAGACTATCACAGTGCGCTATGTGCCGTGGCTTGGTAGGTTGCTAACTGAAGCATCGACTTCGTCCACGCAGTCAGCCCACTTGTGTGCGTTTGTGCGGAGTGACGAGCTGGTGGACTGAGAGTCAGACTGTAACGGCCTACGGCAACCCCACGCATGAGAGATGCATTCCGCCCACCTCTGCTGGTGTTTATGCTTGGAGGGTCAGGTCGTGCGTGTGACGTGCGCAGACGAGGTCACTAGGTGCGTCAGCCACTGCGTCCCGCGCCAGACAAATGACCGGCTCGGACAGTGGCTGGGCATGGGAATAGGAACAGAGGGTGAGGTCGACGACTCAGCGCATTTTCCTCCTCATTATAAACAATCCGACGCACTTGAAGCTATCCCGGTACGCTAAAAGCCGTGGCTGGGAATATTGCCAACTGACGAGATAACTTGGAACGAGCATTCGGCCAAGCGTGTATTTGTGTGGAGTGGCGAGCTGGTAGTCTGAGAGTTAGGCCGCAATGGCTCTTTCTTAATGTGGCCTTTATGGCACTCCCACATAGTGAGATCCGATCCAGATGTGGCAGTACGCCTTGGGGGCGTTCCGGTTGAACCAGCCACCTGCGCCCTCTCCCACCTCCACTCCTTTTAATTATGTCTTTACACCGAGCCTAGGTTGGGAGGAGTGCGTAGATGCTGTGCCAGTCTACTACAACTATAAAAGAAATCACGCTCTTGTCACGCGGAGGAGATCGGTGGTGAGGTGTGTGATGTAGTCCATGTGGACGATATTCTCTGGGCTATACATACTCGCCAGAGCAGAATTAACAGCCGGACGTCAAAGGCGTGCGGTCCACGACCAGCGCTAAGTCAGGGCCTTCAGTCAGGTGGTATACAACAGGGCCGAACCAGTGAGGTATTGTTGGGGGACCGAGTCAACGGTTACTTTCGGACAGTTTAATATGAACGCCAATGGAGTTTTGGGGTGAGATGCGCCAATTGTGTATCATCAGCAAGGAAAACTGCAAGATCCTATTTCGCAGCCGTATATGTTACGGGTTAGGGTTAGGGGTTAGGTTGGGGCTTGTCTACTGCAGGTACAGCTACGATGTAAAATCCGACCTTTTTTTTCACAACAGTAGCCGCTGTCTCACCGGTAAGGCCGAGGAGAGCCTCCAGACAGGAAATCCGCTGTTCTGACAACTCTTTCGTGCGAGGTGGAGAGGCTGATTGCTTACGAAGGCCAAGCAACTACTTTCATCTCGACTGCCTCCGAAGGATACTGCAGCTGCGTTGGCTTGAAAAGATCCCAGACACAGAGAGAACCAGTGTCCATGCCATGCTGAGGGAGATACAGCTGCAATGGAACGGCCACATTGTGAAGATGAATTATGAATGACTGCCCAATCGACTATTGTGTGGCGCGATTGCTACGAGTGATCGCAGACAAGGCGAACAAACGCGTGGTTAAAAAGTCAGCACTGATTTCCCTCAAGTATGTGCAATCAAACTCTGGCCGAAGACTTGCCTGTTACTTACCAACAATACAAGAACCCAGATGGCTAATTATTTTGCCCAAGCAAAATGTTAGTGCAGAGTATGGAGGCGGAAAGTACTTGCGCTTGTTAATTGAATGTGGACCGGAGACCCCTGACTCAAGAAGCTCGTGGCTCACGCGGTCATCACCTCTTGCGATAATTACGGCCTCCTTAAGGTTGAAGGTGTGGCTGGTCACGTAGAATGAGCCACGACCCGGTGACTAGCGTCATTTCTCCTCACTACTGCCGCATGTTCGGCCATTCGCGTTCGGAGTAGTTTACCAGTTTCTCTGACGTAGTTGCTTTGTCCGCAAATGCACCAGATTCCGTAAACTACTTCGAAAGCTCCCTACCATGGCAGTGGCTCTTTTGGCCTCATGACCTATCGCCCCGGTCTGTGCGCAACTCCAAATCCGAGTGGTGTGAGAAGGTGGCAAACGGCTGCCGAGACGTTCTTCAGCTTCAGGAGTGCTCGCCAAAATTTGAGGCCGACTGAATTTGGACCCACGTGGCGTTTACGCATGCATTGGCTGACGAAGTCGAGCGGGTACCTATTCGCTCTAAGGAACCGTCGAGGATATTGTAATTCAGCAACCCTGTATTCCGGCTCGCTGAAATGCGTCTCGACACGCCGGTATAGTGTCCTTTCACAACTGTCTTTGAGGTTATTGGATGGTTGCTATTGAGGCACAGCACCTGCGTTGTATTAGTCGCGAATTTTGATCAGTGGCACCGTTGTAGGGCAGCCTCAGCTATGACTCCTCAAGTCGGAGAACCCACTGGCGAGCTTTTCACCTGCTCCTAGATTGTTCTGCGGACGTGAAGTACGTATTGAGACAGAACTTCAGGAGTTGGGAGATTTTGATGTGTCCGGGACGATTCTCCGATTCTCACATTTGGGATGAACGCTTGAAACGCACTCTTATATCGCGAACGGAAGCGAATGTGAGGCGAGTCCGACGTATGCGCCTCAACAGCCCATCATGTTCTCGCATCGTTGTCGTTGGACGACCGCTACTCGGAATCCGCTGATAATCCCCCCGTTCTTTCTCATCGCTCTGGCCGTCGCGCATAACAATGACCACGCGCTTACCCAAATATTTGGATATCAAATACTTTGACTTACCTGCCTTCCACATCCCGATCGTCTGAAATCTTTTTCTCTGTCGAATAGCATAGTGGCTCCGATAGAACAACTGTCGCGTAGGAAATAAAGCATTCATTTCTTGGCTTGGACTTACCATACAGAAGGCCCGGTTTGTTATTGGGATTGTGGTTTACCCACTGGGGACGCAGAGATGTACTTTCAGAATGAATTTGGCGATCCAGTCAAGCAGTGGGAGTTTGATTTATTGGCTGAAAGTGTACGGTTTCATTAAGCTTTCATCAATTCAATAGGCTTCTGTTGGGAGTTTGCAGCTGGCAGATGCCTTGACGGATGCCAGCTAAACAGTTTGTTTACAACCATCTGTGCACAGTAGACAAAAGGATGGGAGAGTGAGGTATGTGTACTACGGCTGCGTGATGGCCTGTCACAACTAGTTTATGACAGTCTACCTACGGATTTCAGGCTAACGGATTTTGAAACATGGCAACTACTTTGTTTCAGTTATGTTTTGTGTGCTGAGACAAGTTCTTTTTAGCGTGGTCGCCATCGCATTCTGGCACCGAATCTAAACGCCTGTGGCTTAAAGTTTTTATCCTCCCTAAATTAGGGACTCACAGACAAAATTTTCTGTATGTCATCCAAAGTTGTGCCTTCGTGGGGGCTAATTTTTCAGTGAAGGCAAAAACCGGTATTTGCCCATGAAGAAGTACTCCGGCATTACCTAATCACCACAGAAAAAACAATGATCACAGACAATGCCAAATTCCTCTCTATCTACATCAGTGAACAAGTAGTGTAGACAGTCTGTTCTAAATTGTTCGGCCGTTGTCCCCCGACGATATCCACCGTGTGCTCCACAGCAGGATGAGGGCAGGGATGATGCGTGAATTAGTTTATAGTGAGTTTAGACTTGCACAGCATCCACCGCACCCTCGCCGCTTCCCCACCTGGATACAGTTTCATGATAAAGTCAAGCCAGGTGGAGGGAGAGGGTGCAGATGGTTGAAACGGCATAAAACCGCACCTAGGCGTACCATCAAACTCCTTGGTCTACAACGTACACTGAGCAGGAATCTACACCAGAACGAAAATAGGGGAACACGGATCCCAGTTGGCGTGGCGTGGACCGGCAGCTAGACACGACACCACACCCCAACATCAGCATTTGATTTCCGTGACGCGCGTCATCATCCCCTCGTGAAGGTGACACACCATGTGCGTGAATCGTTCAGGACAGCCGAATTCCTGTCTGCCTTTCCACAGTCCATTGCTATTCACTGAGCCGAAGGCTTCGGTCAAGCCCGAGAATGTAGTGTAGGAGTGGAGTCCACGTCTCTTGGCATTTCCCGTGCAATTAGCTGGCGGCGAATAGGTTGTCAGTGATTCTACGGTGGCGTCGAAAGCCACACTGGCTCTCGATAGAAATCACTGTTCGAGATGACCATTGAGACAATTGAGGGGGATGAGAACGAAGACCTTCCCGGCGATGTCGGTCAGCAAGATTCATGTGTGAGCATCACAATGTTGGCAATCCGCTTTTCGTTTGCAGAGGTGGACGAATGCTGGGTCCTTGAAATCCTGAGGAACTTGTCCATGGCGCCACCTCTCCTAGAACGGCGTTGTAAATTTGACCGGAGGCCACCGTACTTGAAGAATTCGGATACCGGTGCTTCAGCTAGAGTGCTGATGCACGGCTCGGGTGGTTTCTGGAAGGGAAGAAGGGAGGTCCAGGTCGTCGTTCGTGTACACTTCCTCGATGTTCACTGTCTAATTAGCTTACAGGTTACAGGTCAGCTGACTAGGTTCTACAAAAAATTTGTCGCGACAGGCCAGGCCGAAAGTGAGACCCTGGCTACCACGGCCTTCAGGCCCCGTCCAGAACACAAAGAGAAGATGGACACCAGTGGGGGAGAAACTCATATTCTGTACAGACTAGCCGGAGAAGTAATTGGAGGTAGATAGCAGCCGGAGAGTGGCACGCCCAGCACGGGCTGAGCGGCGTCCCAAGTGTCCGAGGAAATGCGTCACAGCGTTTTAGGACAGGACAAGTCTGACTCGGACTTGAATCTGATTGGCCAGATTAAGAGCCAAGTGGGCGAATGCCAGACAGCGCCGGGGCGCACGCGCAGACATTCGCGAGAGGCACAGCGTTCGAACAGGCGCTAAGAGTAGGGCCAGTACAGATTCGTAGTCTCAAAATACGT